CCCCCCACAATGCCTCAATCCTTCCAAACTTAATTTTTTTTTTTAACTTTTGAAGTGAAAGCAGAAACTTCTTTTCCAATTCACCCTTAGAAATTCGAGCAAATGGTGCCCAAAATTAGCAAGCTCAAGGTTTCAGAAAAAGCGAGGAAATTAGTATTTCCTGAAATGCTTGGTAGCTTTGTGGTTGGTAGAGAAGAAGGAAATTACAATATGGGGTCTGATAAAAGAGATGAATCTGCAGGTGAAGAATTACGCACTTTTGAGCTTCATGGGTTTGCTTTGAAACATATGATTAAGGATCAAACTTATGATTTTGACGAGGAGCTTAGTGTTCCCCAAAAGGCAAATAAGAATTTGGGAGCAATTGTACACGCAATCATTAATGATGATAATGAAAAAAGATCTGATCTTGAACATGAGGTGAGACTGGTTAACATAATTTTCATTAGTTGTTTTCATTATTTTCACTCTTGATTATGGATGATCTATACTTTATTTATCATGTTTCAGACAGCCAAGGCATTTGCTTGCTAATCCACATACTACCATTTATCTCAATTAATAGGCAAAATGGTTAAAAGAAAACAGTTAACTACTCATATTATCCACTAAAAAATGGGTTGAATGATGAACTTTTTAAAAATGGGTCAAATATGGATAAGAACCATATTATCCATTTAAAAAATGGATAATCAATGAGTAATCAATGGATAACCAATGGGTCTAACTTTTACATTTGTAAAACCTCAAATTGGGGGTTCCTCAAGTTAAGGAGACTAAGAATTCTCCCAAAAGTGATCATATGCAAGAATTCATGGATCCGCCGGTTAACCTATTTTTTATTTTATTTTTATCCGTATAAATATTGGTCGGGTCGGATAATTGATCCGTTTTTTCATTACTCGTTTTAGACCCGAACCATATCCGACCCGACCCCCCGTTGCCACTCCTAGTTCCTAGTATAATTCCTGCACACAAAGTAAATTTTAGAGCTTCTATGCAAAATGCTCACTTGTTGACTATATATGTAAAATAGCCTAATGGTTTTGCCAATTCTGGGGTTTCTGTGATGTTGGTGAAACAGATTTCTGAGAAGGAGATTAATTTGGAGAAGTTGCAAAGAGTTGCCAGTTCAGGTATTCCTGATGGAGGGAGTTTGCGAGCAAAAATTTGGAAGGTAAAATACCTGTGCTTACTATTAATTACCTGATCCCTTAATATAATCATTTTTTCACCAAAATTATGTACTTGTTTCCAGCCAATGTGTTGTAATCACCACAAGTATTTTCTTTTGAAAACATACGTCTGTTTTTCTTGATCATTGAGATTAAATAAGTATGCAATGACGAACGGCGTATCAGAAAGATGTAAAACTGGAAGTTACTTTGGAATAGGAAGTAGAAGAATGACACTGATTAAACTAGAACGAATATAGCGTGTGTATTGGATGAACGAATACTATGACCTGATAGAACTGAATGGTGAACAAGATTATGAGATTAAGCTGACAAAAAGTATTTCTATTGAATGTAGAAGAATATAATGTTGAATCCAATCCGACATAGTAGTTTTTTTCTTCTGAAAGAATCTTTATTCGTTCTAAGATTCAATACAAGATTCTTGCAATCTTTAGTTCTATTACTCTATGTCTGAACTTCTTTATTACTTTTAACATTGTTTTGCCATGATAATAAATTGCAGCTATTATTGGGGTATTTACCTACTTCTCGTGATTTATGGGAAAAGGAGTTGACTGAGAGTCGATTAAAATATGCTAAGCTCAAAGAGGAGCTTTTACTAAACCCCGTAAGCTTCCACTACCTTGTAGTTTATGGTCTTAGTTGTGTTGTTTAATACGACTGTATATCAAATAACACTCCTTAATTTAGACAGTCAGAATTGTCAAGGAGAAAAGATAAAAGCTTGAGATTCCTTGAACATGCTACTAGCAGCGACGCAAATGAGCCCCTTGAACGCTACAACATTTCTAAAGAGGATCATCCACTAAGCTTGGGTAAAGCTAGTATATGGCATCAGTACTTTGAGGCAAGCACCTACTGCACTGTGACTTCTTCTGGAACCTTTTAGCTCACAGATATACTTTTTTATGACAATAAAACAATGGTGTTTCTAGTTTTCAGAAATTTCAGTTCAAATAGACCGTGATTTGCAACGAACTCATCCAGATTTAGAATTCTTCTCCGGAGACTCTCCACTATCTAGGAAGAATAGGGTAACATTTTACTTATATCTCTCAACTCCTGATATTAAGTATTTCTTCACCATCAACTAACCCTGCAAATCATGGTGACTTTAGTCTGTGATGCCTTTATCGATCTATGCTTTGCAGGAGTCAATGAGAAATATTCTTCTTTTGTTTGCAAAGTTAAATCCGGTAATTAGTTATGTGCAAGGCATGAATGAGGTCTTGGCCCCATTATACTATGTCTTCAGCACTGATAGCAATGAGCACAATACTGTAAGTGTTTTCCTCAAATTTGTTCATTATTTAAATTCTTGCCTTTCCCAACTCCTTCTCAGAACCCATAAATAGTAAAAGCAACATTTGCTTTTCCGCTATGCAGGCAAATTTAGAAGCAGATACTTTTTCCTGTTTTGTTATACTAATGAGTGGCTGTGTGGATCACTTCTGTCAACAATTAGATAGCAGTTCTGTGGGTATCCACTCCACTCTTTCAAACTTGTCAAAGTTCTTGAAAACCAATGATGAGGAATTGTGGCACCATCTTGAATATAAATCAAAGGTGAACCTATTCCTTAAGCACTGACAAATTGTTTGCATTTAATCTTCTGGTCTAATTAATTCCTCAAATTATTTGAGAGTTGCTTTTATGTGCAAGTAAACAGGTTGAGCCGCAATTCTATGCGTTTAGGTGGATCACTCTGCTTCTTACTCAGGAGTTTAGCCTGCATCACATCTTAAGGATCTGGGATACACTTTTAAGCAATCCCTTTGGCCTTCAGGTTGTTCTCCCTTCATTACCATCCAATTTGTACAACAGCATATTATGTGTGTATTTTGTATGTATAGATTTAGAGGGTTGACCTAATAATATCACAGAGTGAAAATAGATAAGTACCTGTCGACCAATTCCAAATTCATTTTACTGGTGGCTGAATA